ACTGTCAAGTGCCTCAAACAAGAGTACTTTCCACCTCCGACAGGAAGATATTTTCCTACTCTGCCACTTCATCAGGAAGACAATCTCCTCAACCTGCAACCACTTAGTCACTGAAAGACTTTTACAACTCAGCCAATGAAAAGCCAGTACACTTTAAACTCCCAGATTCCTCCAATGCAGTCTTTGTTCACAACAGCCCCTCTGAATTCCCCCTTTCCTCTATCCTTTGTTCTCTGGACCTGTGCATGGTTTGCCAATAGACTGCACATCCCTAATTGCAATTATTTATTGTTTTTGAATAAACTTATTTTTGTTGGAGAAATATCTGGCTGTCTGTTTGAGGTCCACGGCGCAATAACCAAATTACCTTTTCTTGGAACTACAATAGAGTGGTGAAGAAGGGTGAATTTCCCGAGGGTCCAGGTTGGATGCTCCAACAGATCCTTCTACTTTTATGGCTAATGCGAAGGCCAAGAAGCTTTTTGTTTTCACGTCTCTTTCCCACTTAGGAAAAAAAATTGACAACTAGCTTCCTCAATGGAGACACTCTGCAGCTGCTGTACTCATCTTGAAAGAGTAGTGGCCCCGGGGAATTTGTTCCTGATGAAGATACTTGAAGCTCTGGTTCCCAGTTTTGGGGTAGATTGTCATTATCTGGGTTAGGTTATAACACCCACAATCCAGTTTTCTCCCTTACTAGCCTTCCCCTCCACTAAACAGAACCCATGTGTTTTTCCCCATTTGAAATTCTGAGAAATTTACTAAAAGGGAAAAATCACTATTTCAACACTCTTGTCAAGTGCACTGTATTCTTTGCAGTAACGATGTCAGGCAGTTTATAAGTTGAGTAACAGGCCGGCAAAAGCTGCTCTACCTAAGTGACTTATGAAGATTTGCAGCTCTGAACCTTTGATTGGTCAAGTGAAAGGAACCAAGTTGGGTTTTAAAGCTGAGAAATTCTTGTTCTTTTTGCCATTTTTCTTGTACAGTTGGTGTGCCATGGTCTATAAAAGGATCATCAGTTATGGGGCTTCTGAGCTAAGAAAAATGTGAGAAAATGTTAATAAAAAGGAAAATGGCTGAGGTGTGTGTGCGTGTGTGTGTATGTGTGTGTGTTTACTCCTAACCTTAACCTCTTTTTAAGTCAAGGTAGGGTTCACTTCAGTCACGTAGCTCTACCTTGAAAATTCTTTCTTTAAAAAAAAAAAAAAGACATCTCAGAGGCAGTAAATGGAGATCATTAAAAAATCAATTCAAGTTGTGATCTCAGGAAACGGAGGTGATGCCATTTGACCTTTATTGTAAGTGTGAAGTCAAGTCTACATAAAGAGCAGTGTTCAGTTCCTCTAAAAGAGTTGAGATTGAAATTTAGACACAAAGGCAGCAAATATGCCCAAACTCAACCTTTAGATTATCAGTGACATCTATAAAATTTAAACCAGTCACTTGCCTGTTTGCAAACACATTTTGTTAGGAAGGAGCAATGCTATAGGTTTGACTTTGAAACAAAAAGATGTCGACCATTTCCTTGAAAATGGCACTTGGTAATATTTCTTCATTTTACAGAATTATTATAACATTCACAAGTGCTGGAAGAAATCAATACTTTATGTTCGATAAGCTAATATTAATTTTTCTATAAACACCTATGGGGAGGAAAGAGGAGGAGAAATAGCAGCAAATCAACAATTTCTGTCTTAGTCTGCTCAGGCTGCTATAACAAATACCATAGACTAGGTGGCTTAAACAACAAACATTTATTTCTCACATCTGGAGTCTAGAATTCCAAAATCAAGGTGCTGGCAGATCTGATATCTGGCAAGAGCCTGCTTCCTGGCTTGTGAACGGCTATCTTCTCATTTTATCCTCAGATGAGGGAGAAAGGCAGGAAAGCCTCTCCTGTCTCTTCTTATAAGGGCACTAATATACCACCATGAGGGCCCCACCTTCATGATCAAATTAGATCCCAAAGGCTTCTCCAAATAGCTTCACACTGGGGATTAGCTCTTTAACTATGAATTGTGGGAGGGCACAAATATTCAATCCATAGCATTCCACACCTGGCCTTCCAAATTCATGTCCTTCTCACATGCCAAATACATTCATTCTATTCCAACAGTCCCAAAAGTCTTAACTAATTCCAGCATCAACTTTAAAGCCCAAAGTCTCACCTAAATATCATCTGAATCTGATATGAGGGAAAATTAAAGTGGCTCTGATTCATCCTGAGGCAAAATTCTTCTCCAGCTATGAATCTGTGAAAAAGAAATTATGTACTTACGAAACAAAATGGTGGGGCAGGAAGAGGATAGACATTCTGAAAGGTAGCAGAATATGCTACCCCAAAATATGGCTATAGAAGTTCAGGATAGGCTACCCCAAAATATGCTTTGAAAATAGGCATTGAAAAATAGCATATGCAGGAAGAGGCTTTCTCTGAACTCTTTTTATCTGCCTAAAGACAGAGCCTCCAAGAAGAACTTAATTGTCATAAATATCCTCCCTGGCAGTTTTATTATCTGAGGAGAATTGACTAATCACAGGAGACTGGAAATAGTCACCACACCCAAACTGTTACAAACTATCATACCTCTCGGCTGTTTTTCTAAGGGCCTGTTCATGGTTCCTAAAAATCATTTATTCTCCCCTAAAAAGCCTGTTTCCTCACTTCCCCTTCTCTTATTAAGATGCTATTTAATCCTGAATTATAAAGCCACCTCCTTGAGTTACTCATCTTTCTCTGGGTATCAACCATGTATATATAAGGTCTGTTTCAATATGCTCAATGCTGATGGGGAGGCCTGTGGCAGTGTGATCTGCTACAACCTTTGGGGAAAGTAATTTGGTAGTAGATATTGATATTCAAAAACAGATTCCCTTTGACCTGCATCCTCAAAAGAGAAGAAGCACCATGATCTTGACATTACTGATTTTTTGACTACTTGGTAGAACTTATCTGTAAAACCATCTGAGTTTGGCAATGGCTTTTTTGTTGTTGTTTTTTTAATTTTGTGTTGTTTTATTGTGAGTATATTTTAAACCATGAATTTTCTTAATGGTTAAATGTATTTTCAATTTTCTATTGCTTCTTGAATTGGTTTTGGCTAATTATTTTCTCTAGCTTCAATCTCTTTTCCTATCTTCCTGGTGACTCTAGTGCTGGGACTTAGCAAACCACTCCCAACTTCGAGTTCTGGCAATCCCCAGCCCTAGAGATTTATTAACTCTGTTAACTTACTTAGTGTCCTCTTTTCACCTTTTCAGCCATCCAGCACCTGCTTAACCAATTCCTTATATTAATTTCTCTCTGTTGAAATACCCAGTGTGGTTTCTGTTTACCCACGAAGTCCCTGACTGACACATCATCTACATCGTCTGTTTTGAAATTTATTAGAATAAAGTTGTTTATGGTGATTGATCCCTTGTTTATTAAAATTCTCTGTAGTATGTGATGTTTTGTCCTCTTTTCACTCCTAATGCATGTTTATTCTTACTTAATTTTTGTTATCTCTAGTAGTCTTTTTAAGTAACAATTAGTTTTTGGAATTTTCTCTAACTTGATATATTGGATGCACTTTCATAGTCGACCTTTTTTTTCCACATAAGCATTTTACAGCCATAAATCTCATAAGTTACTGCTTTGTATGCTGTATGTTTGAACTTAGTATTTTCATTATTTTTCAAGTCTCATATTTTCTAATTTCTATTATGAGTACTTCTTTGAACCACAAATTATTTAAAAGTTTTAAAATTTCCAAATGAATATTTTTAAATTATCCTTTTCTGATATCAAAACTACTTGCATTGTGGTTAAAGAACTTGATCAGTAAAATTAAGTTTTGTGATATTTTCTGACAACTCTACTATAGTCTAGTAGTAGTCAATTTTTATAAATATTCCATATGTAACAAAACTCTCAAATTTAGGGACTGAGGATTCTATGTATGCCCACTAGATCAAGCTTAATTGCATTGTTCAAATCTTCCACCTGCAAATCTTTTTCTCAGTTTTTGAGTAATATGTTAAAATTTTCTACTGTGATGATGAATTTGTCAGTTTCTCTATATGACACCTTTTTGGTTTAAAGCACTAGAATGCATGAACATTTACACAAGGATATTAACTGCAGCAGGGTATCTTGGCAAAACCCTGTAAACACCTCTAAATGTTCATCACTAGTGAATTGGCTAAAGTCATTGTATGAAATATTATATAGCCATTAAAAAGAATGAATTTGTTTTATATCTACTAATCTAGAACAAAGTCTATGGCAAGTGAAAGAGGCAAGTTTCAGAGTATGTATATTGTGATTCCCTTTTTAGTAAACAAAACTAAAATTTCTCTATTTGTGAACACGTTTTGATATACTTGAATTAGAAAAAAAAGCTGTTAACATCAATTCCTCCAAAGAAGTGACTAGAACAGGTAAGAAAGAGCATTAACAAATAATTGTTTTATTTCACCTCTGTAACTCTCACAGAAGAAACACAAAACAACAAAAGCCCAACTACATCAATGCGAAATTTTACATATAATTTCAGGTAGTTAATAGACTCTCTGAAGCCCATTTATGAATCACCTAAGGTTTTTGCTCCAACACATACAAGGAGAGTTTAATGGCAGGAAAATTAATTGAACTGCCAATTTCTCCCTCTACCCTCTGAGAGAGGAGCTGGTGCCAAGGTGTAATCTTGGTACTGGAAAATGGATGGACTCTTGTTTGTGACAAGAGCTCCAACCTCACGGGAGTGTGATGCTACTTAAGCCTCTCACACTGTTCCTGCCGTGTGGGGACAGACCTGTGTGAGTTGTGAGGGGTGGGCTGCTGGCCTTGATTCCTTTTTTGGTCTGCTCTAGTGAGCCTAGGGTATTCTCTAGCCTTTTCTCTCCTTCCTCCTCATCAGCACACTTGTATTAGAAGATAAATTTAGGAGAGAAGCATAGTAAAAAAAAGGTTACATTAGCCTGAGGGTATAATTTAATAATGACCAAACAAGATGTATATTAATAATTGATATATATCTTTTATTATGCACAGATAAAGTACTTAAAACTGTGGTTATCAAAACTATACATCTAAGCATGTTCACAAAACTGCCGACACACTGAACAGAAAAAAGACTACGTACAACAGGGGTGTTCAAACTGGCCACAGGGATTTCAAGGGTACTCTTTTTACCCTTATAGATGATGAAAAACAGCAATAAAATCAGGCTCATTCAGGAAAAACCAGAAGAGAAGTATTGTATTTGAAAACTGATAATAGTCCTTTTTAGAAGAAACATCTGTCAGTTTCATGAACAACCCCCACCTAAAACAAACAGGAAAAAAATCACACACGATTCACCCAATAAAATGTGCTCTGTTAATACAACCAGCAGTACAACCATCACTCAAATCATGAGGTAGTTACAGTACAAAAAGACCAGCGCACAAGTGTGTGCCCCCACACACGCTCACAATCATGCCCACTACAGAACACACACAGGAAATGGGTTTACAATCTTATTACAGACAAGGATAAAACCATTTTTTGTTGTTGTTGTTTAGAAAATACTATAGAAACAGCTTAGACAGAAGCAATTTCTGACAACAAAAAACAGTAACAGCTGGTAAACAACACATGGTGAAAAGCTATAGGATGTTACACAATCTGCCTTGGAGTTTAGAGCATTTCAATAATAGCTTTAGCATCAATAAAAACAAAAACAAAATGGCCTCTGCGAATTAAGGGTGTAGCCTGCAGAAGTTACAAGACTTTGCAGATAGAGTTTAACTGGAATATAACAACGGTTTTATAGAAACTTGGAGAACATGTTATAAAGTTGAGCTCATATTCTGTATTAAAATAATGAAGTATGAAGCAATTGAAAATGCTGTTTAACAAGAAGCTAGGGAGAAAACTCTATTTTTTTAATGTTCATTTTTAGAAAACTTTCAGAAATACTTAGTGACATTCACTCTCCAATTAACATGGGATCGTTTCATCAACATGGATTTCTTGATCTGAATAATACTTTTGACAATAAGACCTAAACGAATAAAAGTTGACTTTTTTCTTCTTTTTCTTTTAAAATCTTTTGGTTTGCATCTATAAATTTGTAAATTAATTTTAAATTACTTATAAAATCAATGGCGATGCAGCATCTCTCTCAAAAATACACATTTAAATATATTACAAAAGGTTTTAGTTTTAACCCTGTCCATCTAAGAAATGGATTTTTTAATACCTCTCAATAGCTAATTTTCTTTTTAACGGGAAGAAAAGGGTGTTTTAAAAAGCAAAGAACTGATCAAAAGAATTCACAGTAACTGAAATTATACATTTCATATGGAGTAACTTTTTTTAAAATCTAAAACACTTAAATATATCTTTATACACAAACTTTTTGTAGTAAAATATAGCTATAAGTGACTTAAAGACTCTAGTCTTCTTTGAAGACATCTTTAAACTTTTTCATACATAGAATATGCTAAAACAATACATTCTGCTGAAGGTTAGGCAAAGCGCATTATTTTCAAACACAGGTAGCGTAATCTAGGTCCTCCACTCTGATACCTTTATGTTAAAAAAAGTTAACCAAAAGGAAAAAAAATTCTCTAATCACCTATTTTCATTTGTATGTGAAAATATGCACAATTATCAAGGTAGATAGACTAGAAATCTTAGCCCTCAAATAATGTTTTGGTTAAAATCAACTTGATTGTCTACACCTATCAAATCAATCAGAGTATTACTCTATAATGTGGTAGCGATGGTTGCTAGCCTCCATCTGTCTTGCAGACGCTGTGCTTAGGTCTTGGGTAGCATCAACATTTCCTACCTAAGGTTCCATTCATAGAGAACCAGGCACAATTTCCTTATTTTAAAGGCAGTGAGATTTGCTTATGAATATTTTGGGGTAGAATCTAGCCTGCTCTATTTGTAAATTCTGAGTTGTTTGGGGTGTAGTGATCTGGAAAAAGAATAATATTTATTTGCTACGAAGCCATCCTCAGTAGTAAATGATTTGGCATGGAAATTTTCCTCAGGCATTCTTTTCTTTTTTTAACATAGAGGTATCAGTTGAGCTTATTTTAGCTGCAAAGTGGCATCATATTATTCCGTTTTATTCCATTATTCCACCTCAAACTCTTTTTGAGTTTGGGATATATTTAAGGCAGGAGAACTAAAGCAACCCAAATGAGTGCCCACATCTCAGTACTTTCTTGGCAGAACTGGTGACAATGTTCCGATAACCAAGTGGAATCTAAGAGGATCTGCCAAGCATTTGCATCTTATAAGAGCATGGTTTTTAAAAAAGGGTCTATTAAAAAGGTTGACATGTTTCGAGTGGAAACACCAATTCTCCCAAATATATTTAAGAATAAGTTTCAACTCTGAAGGCATAAAAAATTTTTAAAGGGAGAATGAATTTTTCTTCTTCACGGAAAAAATGAATGTGCCAGATGATATATTATATACTTTTACTGGCATATATAGCACTGAGCAAATTCCTCAACTTTACAACTGAATTTTGCCCCAACTTACACATTAATTTATCAGAGCAAAATATCATAAATGGGCCTACATCTGCAGTCCCAGATTTTGGCCATTTTCAATTTCTACGTGTCTATGAAGAAATACGAAATTTGCATTAAGACGTTTTTTGCAGTCAGTGTGCTAGTGTGGGGAGGAGGAGGAAGCTGATACGGTAATCAGCATCGGTTCTGGCCCAGGGCACAAGAAAGGAATGTTGCCTGATGTGTGTTGGGATATAGTCCCTGAGGGCAGCACCTATCAAGCAGACACACCAGCCCCCACAGGATGTGGCAGCAAAGTGAGAAGTGTGCATCCAGAGGTGCAAATTAGACATGGAGGAAAGCACTTAGGAGGTCTTGAAGCCTTTCTTTTGTTTTACATCTTGGTTCAGTTATTAAAAAAATTTTTTGGCCACATCTCATTGGTTCTACTGCCTAGCTATTATCCTTTTTACCAACTCGAGTCTGGGTAAAACTCAGGGCCCCAAATTATGGATGTTCTTACCTGGACAAAGCAGCATTTAAAAAACTGGCATGTGTTTCACATTGAAAACCCCCAAGCCTGTGAGGGGCTGGTGGAGAAGGCCACCACCTTAGCTTTCTCACATGAACTCTAGTGTGTTATAGAAGCCCAGGGGTTGCATTTAGATTAGCCCTGGATAGGGGGATGGTGAATACAACAGGTGATGTTTATACTGAAATTCACTCTCTCTTTACACGGCAACCACAATCAAGCCTTTCTGGAGTCTGGATACATGTGTGGTCAGGTCCGGCACTTGGCAGTGGCCAGGCTGGGCTAGGCTGTGCTGCTGCTGGAGCAGGGTGTGCTCTGCGTGCTGCCAATGCTGTGGGCCGCACTGCTGTTCTCCGAGGCCGGTGGGGAGGTGGGGACTTGCTGCCGTCCTGCAGTCTCCCCTGCAGTTGATAAAGAAAAGGGGCGAAGAAAGACGTTAGGTGTATGCATTCCTGAAAAGATCATTTCTCCCTTTGTCATTTTATCTGACGTTCTTCTCAACCAGGGGCAGAAGGCCTTACACCACAAGGCTGTTCTTTCGTTGGTGTTCTGTTTTCAAAGCCTCTTTCCTGGGAAAACAACAACTGCCTCTAGCTGTCTGACAGGCAATTATAGTAGTTAAGACCCCTGATAGGTGAGGATGAATGCCCAGAATTTCAGCGCCTACAACCTTGGAAGAAACCACCACCTGCTGTACTGTGTGATTCAACTGACTGGCACCTGTATTCAGGAAACACTGTCCATCTCTTCCAATTGTAGGGTTTGGGAGGTGAGATCTTTAAACCGTAATGAGACCACTGGCAGTTTGGGGGCCTTTTTCTGAATGTACCATGCAAAATGGAGGTGATGAAACCTCAGTTTCACCCTAGCCACAGCAGAGAACCATGTGCTGCAAGCACACAACCCACCTGAGAAACAGAGGTAGGAGGAGGCTGCTCTCTGAAAAACCTTTTGGGGAAGGGGTTTAGCTGTCCGCATATAGGGACTGCGGTTGCCAGGGAACGCTCCCTCTATCCTAAGGCTCACTGCAGGGTGCAGTGTATCACTAACACAGTAAACAACCCACTTTTCATTACACACCCCACTGCATTTGAGCTAATCCCATTCCTGTACCAAATGTGCAGTGCTCTGGAGAGAGAGGAAACCCTGGGTCACACACATGGTTTGCATTTAGCACTGCAAAAAGCCTCTAGAGTTCAGTCTTGTCTTCAGTGAAACTGGCCTCAGGGCCGCTCTCAAAAATGACTCTGGGTAGGGAAAAGTGATCAAGATCTCCAATGACAAACACTGCATTTTCTTTGAAAAGTCAGAGCATAAACTTCATAAAAGTCTGGTCAGCAGTCTCCCCCGACTCCTCTCCAATGTGGGAAGCCCCAGAGGGCCAGGTCTGTTTATGAAGGAGCCTCCTCTTTCCTGTCACACTGAAAATACACAGCTATCAGCTGAAAACACACAAGCAAAGGCCCTGCCCTTCAAGTACTGGAACTCAGCCTGTTACCTCCATTCCCTTTCTGGGCCTCTCTGCCAAAAGAGCAGTTCTGTAAAATGTATAACCGGCTCATGCCCCTAAGGCTGGTTACAGCTTCCCTGCCACCCATTTTATGAACCATACAGCTACAACACACATTTCTGCATCCACCTCGTGGCATTTATATACTTGTTGCATATTCGGCCCTTGCTACATTTCCTGATTATCTTTTCTTCTGGGATTGGTGGGACGGAGAGGAGGTAGTGTTACCATTGGAGCAATCGGAGTTCCAGTAACACACACACCTCTAGGTCCTTTTCACTTTTATGTTCTCTCAGTGTTCTGAACTTCAGCTCAGTGAATATGAGAAAATATTCATTTGTTAAAAGAACATTATGAGGTAGAAGACGGGTCAAGCCTAAAACTGGCTAACCACATGGAAACAAGGTTACGTATCCCTGGTTGGGGAGGTACGGGTTACAGCCCAGCCAGGGAAGATGGAGAGTTGTAACCCCGGAGGAGGGAGAGGTCTGCATTATATTTGGGGCTGTGATAGGTGGTTACAAAGGTGTTTTTAGGTGATTGGCAAGTGAGGTCATTTTGATTGACACTTGGCTGCTATATAACTCTTTGCCTAATGCGTACCCAGAATTCAGTCTGTTATAATTAGATTCATGAACTTCCAGGCATAAACATAGTATTATAAGGAAGCTTAAATTGTAGGCAAATTAGGGTAATACCTTCTGTGCAGGCTTCTGTAGCCAGGTTAGGCCAGCTAAGATTATGATCCTCCTGTCCTTTGTCTCCGGGGATGCAGGAGGGATTGTTTAACTACCAATAAATAGGGTGTTCTTTGGGCAGTCTCTAGGCTGGGCCCCTATTCCTTTGTTCCCCCTGTCGCTCATGTATGACTAGCTACCTAAGATTAGGGGGTTAATATTCCTCAGAAGCAGAGAAACATTGTATTTTTGTTCTTCCTTTTTGGGGGGCAATCTATATTTTGGACCCTCCCCAGCACTGCCCTCTACCCATCACATATGTATGTAATTAAAGGTGGTGCCAGAAATTCACTTTCCCCAGAATGGGAGCTTTCAAGAAGGAAATCAAATTTCAGCTTTTGTGATGTGCTCACACACACACACACACTGAAAAAAGAAAAACCCAAAACCTCCAGAGATCTGAATAACTCATGATATACTTTAAAAATTCAGCCCCCTCACAACCCACATGTTGATCCACACCCAGCTGGTTCCTCATGTTATTAATTAGAAGGGCTAATGTGGCTGTGTGTGAAGCACATTTTAAATATATCTTTTCCCCATCAGAAAGCAGGAGGTAAGTCAACACTCTACCTCTCCTTTTTGGCTCACCTGGGCTTCATTTGTTCAGCCTGATAGCGGCTCAAGCAAGATGGTTTTGGCTCATCTATTGATAGTGAACAATTCTGTCTCATCCAGAATTTGAAACGTGCTTGATTATTCACATTCAGGAAAAGTGCCAGTACTGCTCCCTGCCCAGGAAGTCTGAATATTTGTTTTCCGATGTCTATTTGCCAAATATAATTTGTTGCCATGTCAGTTTATTTTAATCAGTGCCCATTACAAAGGTCTTTCAACTTCCTGAGTTTTGGAAACCCTTGAGCTGTTGATGCAAAACACTGTCCAAAATGAAACCTCACATAAAACAAAACAAAGAAGTCCCCTATACTCAAAGTTTCAGGATACATTTCACCAAGGTGGACAAGTCAACTTAACCTAATAATCTATTGACTTGAGACAATGATGTGCCAAGGACAATCTCTGTCTAAGAATCTGCTTGGGGAAATGTTGAAAATATCTTCTTTAGACTAACCCTTCTATCTCTGTGGCTATTTTCACATGTAAGACGTGAGATTTCTCAGCATAACCAAGTTGTTAAAAAAAAAGTTTACCTTTTGAGAAAGTTTTTTTGTTAGATGGAAGTGGCACTACAGAAAAAGTCGCCATGAGAAAGAAAGTTTAATGCGCAGATATTTCTGCTTAAAACGTTAAAAAACCCCTGGGTTTTCTGTGATAGGTCTTTCAGTGTTCTGCTCTCTAACCCAGGGACCTCTGATTTCTTAGAACACTGTCTTTCTCTAAAATATCCCTTGGGTGACAAATATAATCAGTCTACTTCTGGAGAAGAAGGGCAGGGAGGATCCCAAGGTTAAGTAGGATAGGCCTACTTAGTGAATGTAAGGAGTTCGAGGAAAGCTCTTGCTCATAAATATCAAACTTGGCCATCAGAAATATGCTCAGTCTTCATGCTTTGCTCCTAAAATCTCAAACCACGTTGAAGAAGAGAGATTTGAGGAAGAGGGAGAGTGAGTAGGGGAGAGGTATTTGGTGCATGGGGTGGTACTCAGGAGGAGGGTGTGTTAGGAAAAGGATTAGTTCCACCCAGCTCTGCGGTTGAGCCTAGATACTGCCAGAGATCATTTAGACATTTTTTATATATATATATGTGTGTGTGTGTGTGTGTGTGTGTTTTAAAGAATAATCTGTTTCATTTCTTTAGCTTAGCATGGGGTTCTCCACATCTGATTTCTTGCCACTTCTTTGGCGGGTCTACTTTACAACTGGGCTCTTATCTAGAAGTCTTTCAGCATGTCAGGTCCTGAGAAAGAAACCTTATCTAAGAAAGATGTAAACAACACGAAGAGGATCTTTGGGAAAACCACACAACAGAAGAATTTTAAAGGAAGGTGAGAGGAATCTGATTATTTAGCCCAAAGGAGACCGTTTGCAAATACTGCCCACAGAGGATTATTACAAAGAGGAACAGACAGCTGTTCTTTATCTTCCCTGAGGTCAGAACAGAAGGAAATGACTTTAAATGGTAGTGATAAGGATTTAGGTCACATAGAAGAGAACTTGCTGATTATGAGGATTGGTTAGTTATAGGGGAAATTTCTGAAATTTCTTTCTTGAAAACCATATGCTTGGGGGTGATGTAGATTTAATATTACTTGACGCTGGAAAGAAAAATAAAAAATATTTTCCTCTAGGCCTACATGTTGGTTGCAATTCTATACCAATTAATGTCTCTATCTCTTGATATCCTAATTACAAGCTCACTCCTACAAGGAGAGTAAACTAGAACTACCTTTAGAGAAGTTTTCAATCACTATGTATCATTTTTTCAAAACTTGTCCCTCCCTAGTCTCCAAGCTACAAGACCTTTTATTTATTTATTTCTTTTTCCCCAGCCAAACTTCTGCAAGAGGGGTAGATTACATG